CAAGGTAACGTACAAACCCAAGGCTACAAACATTTTTTGAAGTGATAAAATATAATAAAAAAAACACATAATTGAGTTTGTTGTATTAACTTGATGCAAATTATATATTATAAAGAAAACAGACAATTACGAAAAATTACGAAAAATTAGCTTTAGCTCAAACCAGCTGATTGATCTCAATTTTGGACTCTTCACACTCGTTACACAATTTTGTAAACTCATTGCTCAATATCAGTAGTTCGGTACATAACGAACAAAGCTGAAAGCCTTATAAGTTTTGATATATTGGCATAATTAACGCCAGGTCTTCTATTAGATAGGTTGTTGCTTCACAAATATACATATATTTATATTCAAATGTGATACTTTAAAATATAATACAAATAAATATATAATATTTCATATTAAAACATTACAAAAAAATTGTGATATTCCAATGGATAATCCTGTGATAATATATTCCAATGGATATTCCAATGGTAGCTTCCGTTGGAATGATTCCAACAAAAATATTTTGTTTGAATGTATTTTTCATTGAAATTTTAGATGGAATTTGATGATTCCAACGGCTATATTTCCAACGCCTTTTTACCATTGGAATATGCAATTTTTCGTTGGAATTTTATTTCCACCACAGTTGGAAAATCTACCGATGGAATCGTCAAAATCCAACGAAAATTCTAATGAAAAACTCATTCCAACGAAATATTTTTGTTGGACTTTCCGTTGGAATTATTCCGTCGAAAATAATAACATCGAAATATCCATTGGAATTGCCGTTGGAATTCTATTGGAATATATTTCCATTGAAATTTCACTATTTTCTTATAGTGTAAGAGCGTCTCCAACCCATCTCTACATCTTACTTTTTGCGCTAGAATACACAAAATAATAGCTCCAACCCTGTGCTAGAATTCAACGCTAGTTTACATATGGGAATAGTATTGCACCAGAGCTTAGCGCTACATTTTTCTTTTATTTTTTTAATGTGTTTTAATGTAATATTATTGATAACTTTTTGTATAATGTGTATTAATAAATGTATTTATTATGTTAAAAAATTTGTCTTTTTCATTTATTGATGTATTATAATTTTATTTTGCAATTAAATGTTATTATGTAATTTGTTTTTCTAGTGGTTCTTGTCTTTTTAATATTATTATGTAATTTGTATTTCTATTGTTTTATGAAGTAGTCTTGTGTTGTTATACATAAACATATTTTTATTATTTTGGGTAACAAAAATATATATAAGATTAAAAGTACATATATATACCAATTTATTTGAATAAAAATGAATAAAAAAATAATATATTTGATGTAGAGTAAAATATAGAGATAAGGGCTGGAGACGAATGTTTCACTGTACTCTAGAGTAGAGTAAAGTCCGCGCTAGAGTAGAGATAAGAGCTGAAGATGGCCTGAGTATATATTTAATAAAAAAGTATGGTTATCTAACGTGTAGGGTATTAGACATCAAGGTTTGTGACAGTCTTATCAGGGACTCAGTAACATCATATCACACCAAAAGCTACCAACTCATTCTTGTACTGCATGGTTGGCCGTTAGGAGACGACCTCTGAATGGTTGTGGATATGCCGCCTAGCACTTAGGGTTAGTCTTTGTATAAAATGCTCTAAGCTTCCAGATGAAGAATGGCGGCCGAAATGCTTTCTCACTGAATCATATGTAACATGGGGGCTGAAATGCTTTCTCACTTCATCATTTGTAATCTTCCTCATTCACGAAATGAATATAATGATTGAGTATTTGAGGAAAACCAACACCAAGCTATGTCAGGTTAAAGTATCACCTGCACCATGCCAACTCAGTGGCCCCATGCATCATGTCAGCTCAGGAAATTGATCACATGCATAAATAAGTCACTATCTTAAGTGCACAAATTCATGTTGTTTGTCTTTTACCTTAGATTGTTGTTTTCCTTAGTTGATGAGTTGTAAGGTTGTGACAAACTTATTATGTCATAGTTTCCATCCTAGCCACACATAGAACTTTGTGACAACTATAAGAAACGTGTACATACTAGTTTAAGGTTTATGCAAAAAAAAGATGTTGCTCCCTTTCGGCTTACTAGTGTTATGCATATCAATGAACATTATGATGCATTTCTTTCATGGTATCAGAGCACAGAGCAAGGTACGTAAAACTTGTCTCTGATCCCTTTTCTTTTTTCTCGTTATTAAAACAAACAACTTTCCATTATGTGTCAAAAAATCAAACAGCAAACGCTTCACCCACAGCTCAAATCTTCTTGCTCATTCAAATTTGTCAATAAAGTTTTGGGATGATGCCTTTTTTGTTGGTAGTTTTATCATCGATGGACTTCTTAGAAAAGTGATTTCTTATGAGTCATATGAACTGTCTCTTCCAACAAATACCAAAATATAATGACAAAGTTTTTGGGTGTCTATGTTATCCCTATATCAGACCTTGGAACAAATATAAATTGTAATATAGGTCAGTTCCTGGGATTTTCCGTGGATACTGTGGACAATCCTAAGGTTATAAAGTGCTACTGACAATGTATTCATTTCAAAACATATTGTATTTGAGGAAGATAAGCTTCCATTTCAAGCAAGTGAAGCAGAAGTCAGTTAAAGGTGTCCAAACATTCACTGAGTACACCTATGATACAACCTAATCAAGGAGCAGGTGCAGATGTTCAAGAGAGCAACACTGGTTCTAGTCACTGAATCTCACAAGTCTAAGATATGTTGATCATGGAAGAAATTCATCACCAAGATCAAGCTCTTCTTACAGAACAAACCCACTATTTGTTGATCTTTCTCTCAACCAAAATGATCACAGTGATCAAGAAGTTTGAAAAACTATCAGTAAACACTACGTGATGACAAGGCCAAAGACTGAATTCTAGACCAAAAGTGTTAACCTTTGAGTTGGAATAGAACCAAATGATGCAATGCAGTTTTAGACTTCAAATGCTTGGAGAGGAGCAATGAAAATGGAGAATGAAGAACTCATAAACCAGACATGGATATTAGTTCCAATTCTTGAATATAAGAACATTGTTGGAAGTAAATGGATTTTCAAAATTAAAATACAATCTCATGGATCTGTGGCTAGACAAACAGAAAGACTTCTAACAAAAGGTTGGTAATGACTTTTTCGAGACCTTCACTCCAGTGGTAAACCCTACCACTATAAGACTTATTCTCAGTATGGTTATTCAAAGAGACCTGAAGTTAAGCATTTAGACATTAGTGATGTTTTTCTGTATGTGACTTACAAAAGGATATATACATGAGACAACCAGTTGAATTTGAACAGAAAATTGGAGAATGAGAACTAGTTTGTAAATTGTTTGTAATAAATTAATTTGTTTGGCATTAAAAAAATCCTGAGTCATATCTTGAAGTCAAGATAATCGGCAAGAAGAATATTCTCCAAGTCAAAGGGAAGTTTGAACTTATTTTACTTCCTTATTTTGTAGTCTATTTAACTATGGACTAAGTTGTATTTAATTATGTTATAGGAAATTAAAGGAGAGGATTAACTTTCATACAAAGAGCAAGGAAATCTTTATGAAGATTGGAATATGGCAGTACTTACCTGAATTAGAGAGGAGGGTGTATGCACATACTTTCCATATGAGCTGAAGTTTGAGAACGAGGCAAGATACTTTTATCATATGCGAGGAGTGAAGATTGCGGAAGATGAGATGATTGTAAAGAAAGCAACAGAAAGAAAGAACTTACCTTATAGAGCAGCGTATATAGAGCCTTGCTCAGACACTCTTTTTATATTTTATTAAGTACTCAAATTAGAGAGCATGTTCTCTAATTTGAGTTTGAGTATTTCACTTGAACAATTGAGGTGTTTGGGATGGACGCCTTTGTACATCGCGAGGGATTTGTGTTGTAAAAGTCCACGAAGAGTGGACGGGAAAGTAGTTGAGTAAAGTAATACTTCTTAGGATAGGAAGGGGGAGTCTTCATTGTAAATCATAGTTGTAAAAGGCCAAACACTTGCTTTAATGAAAAGTTTCGAAGGGAGAGTGAGATGCTCTCCTGAATGTTTAAATATTGTTTGAACTGCTTTCGCATCTAAGTGAGCGTTCATTGTTTACTGGCTAGGTACAATTATGTAAATCCCCCAAAATTA